CATAAGCATTGTCTTGGAGCTAGAGAATTTGGTACAAGATGGTCCGTTGATGGCTGATGCACGTATGGTTACGGATGATGTAAAAGAAAAGTTGGAAGTGGTTGGTTCTGATAATGATTTATTTTGTGAAGGTAGACAGGAGGAATTGAAGGAGGATGGGGTTTCTTTGTACCATCAGGAGGAGTCACCAACCGTTGTGGTGGGTCTTCTCTCGTCATCTTCTAATGAAGGAGAAATGGGTGAGGCAATAAGGTGGAACAAAATTCTAAACATATGCAAAAATTTACATATGGAGATGGGGTGAGCAAAGTCAAGGTGCCGGATGGTTCTTGTCATATGAAAGTACACGCTACTGGTTATGTAAAGTATAAAGCAAAGTTACGTTCTAATACGACAACACCTTCAGTACTTCTTAGAGAATGAAAAGTGGTCCCATGCAAGGCACAATGTGCTTCTCAGGGTACTCCGTCGTTTAGCAAAGGTAAGCCTTTTTCTGGCAAGTCCTCCAATTCTTAATTTATGCATGTTAATAATAGCATGGAATGTACGTGGCCTCCAAGTTCATGGCAGAGTATCTGATAATGGAGTTCATAAAAATTATAATAATGTAAGGTTATTATTTCTTCTAGAGACTAAATTTCCAGTGGATAAGATTAATATGTGGTCGAAAAAATTGGGTTTCTATAATAATGTGGTTTCTAACAATGTTTACGATAGATCGAGAATTATGGTTCTGTGGAACCTGTCCATATGTTCAATCAATGTTCTCAATGTTAATGATCAGATTATCACTATTGAGGCCACTCGTTTTTGTAATGGTTCGCTTTCCATTATTACTGAGGTATATGCCTTTGATTTTGTATCTCACAAGGGATTACTTTGGGATCATATGAGAAGTATTGGGGCTGCTACTACACTACTTGGGTTGGTATTAGGCGACTTTAACACTTTACTGGATAGCTCAGAGTGGATGGGAAGTAGTGGCAATTTACCTTCAGATTCAAGGAATTTTGCTCAGGTTATGTCAAACTATGGATTAACTGACCTTGGTGCTGCAAGGGTTGGTTTTCTTGGTCTAACAGTCAGCTTAACAAGAGATGTGTCAAAAGGAGATTAGATCGTGCTATGGCGACCACTGATTGAGTGCTGGCATATCCAAAGTCCAATGTAGAGTTTCTTCCAAAGTGGAATTCAGACCACTGTCCTTTGCTGGTATCCCTATCAGATTTGGATTCGGTTGGGCCTAAACCCTTTAAATACTTCTCGACTTGGGAGAAAACTCCAGACTTTATTGATATAATTTAAGTTTCTCAGTAAGGCAGAGTGGGAGGCATGCCTATGTTTCATTTTGTTACAAAGCTAAAAAGACTGCTGAGTTTGCGTGCTTGGAACAAGGAAGTGTTTGGTCATGTGAGTGACTCTATCTTAGTAGTTTGGCAGAAGTTATCCTCTATACATGATGATTTGTGTAGTAATCTTTCCTATGACAATTTTATGATAGAGGAGAAGAAACATACTATAAAATTACAGCAATTATTAGGCCATGAAAAGAGTATTTGGAGGCAAAAGTCGAGGCAAAATTGGCTAAAGGATGAGGATTCTAATACAAGGTTTTTCCATCTATCTACTGTAATCAGGAGGAGAAGTGATCGCATTATTTCTCTCAATGATTAGAATGGGGTTTATTTGGTTTCTGAAGCAGATATTGATAACCACATAATAGGGTTCTTTGAAGATCTTCTTGCCTAGGAATAAGATGGTGATATTCATATGGATGAACATGTTTTTTCACCTTCTCTGATAAGCACTCCTGAGCAGGAGAAGTTGGTTAAGGATGTTAATATGGAGGAGATAAAGGATTGTATCTGGGGGTTGAAATGTGAGAGTGCTCCCGGGCCAGATGTCTTAACGGTGGAATTCTATAAATTTAGGTGGGAGGTGCCTAAGAAGGCTTTTTTTCTAGCTCAATGTCTTCTTTAAGAAATGTAAATTTCTTAAACAAATCAATTCTACCATTATCTGTCTCATTCCTAAAGTAGCCAACCCTACTATTATGAAGGATTTTTGCCCAATTCATTTCTGCAATGTATTGTATAAAATTATTAGCAAAATCATTTCTAATTGCTTACGGGAAATTCTTAATGATTTGATTGATCCTAGACAAGATACTTTCTTGAAAGGTAGATTGATTACATATAACATTCTTATGACAAATGAACTCATATCTATATGCAACAAAAATTCCAAGAGGCCCAAAATGTGTTTGCAGCTAGATTTGAGTAGTGTTAATGATAGAGTATCCCGGTCCGTTGTTATTGTACGTATGAATGCTTTGGGATTTCCAGATATTTTTATACCTTGGGTTTGTCTATCATATCTTCTCCTTCTTTCTCTGTGTTGCGCAATGGATCCCCTAAAGGTTATTTTAAGGGAAAAAGAGGCCTTAGACAAGGAGACCCCTTATCTCCATATCTTTTCTTATTGGTAATGGATTTTTTGAGTAGGCAGTTCAACTATGCTACTGAGCAAGGTATGATTCCTTGGGATTTTCCTTCGAGCTGGATTATGGAATGTCACATTTATTTTGTGCGGACGATGTTCTTATTTTCTGTGATGCTTCAATTAGTATTGTTGTTGCTCTTAAGTTGGTTCTCTCCATTTTTGAGGCAATTACAGATCAGAAACTTAATATTGCAAAAAATAAGCCTTTTTTTTTTGGGTTTCACAGGATAATAAATTACTAATTCTAAGGAAATTTGGCTTTGGTGAAGGATCTCTCCCAATGCGCTATCTTGGGTTTCCTTTATTTCATGGCCATTTGAAATATAGTCAATGTCATTGCTTGGTTGGCAAAATTATTGAAAGGATAGGCTCTTGGCAGGCTTTAACTTTATCATATGTAGGGCATCTTTAGTTGCTGAAATCAGTTCTTTGTGTCTCATCTATTTTTTGGATTCTTTCATTTATCCTGCCAAAACGAACATGTCGTATGATTCAACGGCTGTAGAGAAATTTTCTATGGCCCGGCGTGGTGGAGAAAAAGGGAGTGCATCTTGTTAAATAAAGAACAATCTGTTTATCTTAGGTTGAAGGGGAACTAGGAGTTAGTGACAATGGATTTCAATATTGCAGGGATGGAGAATTTTGGCGGATACTTCATCTCTATTTCCTCTGTTCTTTAAGCATCGTTATTTCGAGAATTCTTCCATATGGGAAACCAAATATAAAAGTTATTCATCTTATGCTTGGAAGGGTATTTGGCTTGGATTATCTCATTTTAAATATAATGTTCGATGGGTTATTGGAGATGGTCGGCTTGTGGATTTCTGGGAAGATCCATGGTTATCAGAAAGGTCAATATGAGACTCTTATGGTATGACTGTTCATCAGGACCTTGAGAATGCTATGTCAAAGGTCTTCGATTATACTGGAGGCCATCTTTAGTCTTGGGTCTTACCCACCCCTACATCTGTTTTTTTTACTCAAATATGGCAGGAAGTTGAGAGATTTATTATCCCATTACAGTGGTACAGGGATTTTCTAGTATGGATTCATTATGTGAGTGGATTATTTTCAACTAAAGAATCTCGAGAATTTATTGGAAACAAGGGCACCTCTCAGCCGATTTTTTGAACCTTGTGGTCATCAAAATGTCATCTCCGAGCGAAATGGTTCTCTTAGATGGCACTTCACGATCGGTTACCCACTATCTCTCTCCCACGGCAATGAGGGATAGCCATGGCTCCTCCTATATGTCCCTTTTGTTAAAACAATGATGATGGTCCTTGTTTGTGATTTCTCACAGGCTGTACGGAGATCTCTTGCATGGCGTTGTGGTAAACGTTTTATTTTTTGCTCTTTTATTACTAATATGTTGAGAAGTTGGTTAACGTTTAGATTTTAAATACAATGGTTTTTTCAATATTTGGACTTTTTTATTCTTCACAACTATTTAGTTTTTATGGGCAGAGAGTAATCGAAGAGTTTTCCAATCAAGATTAATCAGGAGAGAGCAATTGCTTCAACAAATTATTTCTCATGTTCGGGAGTTAGCAAATGCTAAAGCATAGGCATTTCATGTCTCAGAAAAAATAATCACCGATAATATGTAGTTCAATTGGCAGCAACAGATGGATCAGTTGGTTGTACCGGTGGTGTGGTCATTTCTTAGCCCTAACTATTTCATGTTAAACATTGATGGGGCCTCCTTGCGTAACCCAGGTCGAGTAGGTGGGGGTGATGTAATTAGAGATTGTGATGGTGCTGTTATTGCAGCATTCTCAAAACTTTTTGGAATCGCTTTCAACAATTATGCAAAATTCTCTGCTCTGGAAGAACGTTTGGTGCTAGCCTTCCAGCTAAAATGTTTTCCTTTCCAGAATGAAAGTGACTCGATTTTACTCGTTAATGTTATTCATGAACACTGTCGATCTCCTTGAAAGTTATATAAGATTGCTGCAAATTGTAGACATCTTTCTAATCGTGGGTCGTCCATCTTGCCCATTTTTTCTGAGGCCAACATGGTGGCTGACATTTTAGCAAAGAGGGCCACATCTTGTGAACTGGGGTTCGTGTTTGCCGGACTTCATTTCCTTTGCTTTACTTCATGACCTGCGATCACTAGTAGCAATGTTTTTGGGCTCTTGCCAACAACAATTTTAACAAGAATCTTGTATCCCAGTCTAACATGTCTCGTTATAATCATTTTTTAAACATTGATGATTATGTTAACTTTGTGAGATGGTTAGCCCCATTGATTACCAGCCCAACCTTGGTTTCAAGTCCATATTAAGCATTAAGAGAAGCTTAGCTTGTTGCTAAGTAGAGGAAACATCCTTCATCAAATTATGAGCAAATCAGACATAGAAATATGATAATACAACATCCCATGCATGACGACAACCGTGCGCTCACATTATTACTTCATTCATAGATATATAGGTCACAGGGGCCACTTAGTGTGTTTGTGGACTCTCAAGTAAAGGTCGAAGAAGAGATGATCAAAACAAAGTCTCATCAATGACGGGGGCAAGACTCGGCGGCAAATCTGCAACAGAGGGAGCAACAACTGGCGGCACGTCCACTGGAGGCACGTCCACCGGTGGAACATCCACGATTGCCGGAGGTGGTGCAGTGTCCGGATTTTGAGAGACACCACCTCCACCGCCAGCACCAGCGCCGGAGCCAGCTCCAGAGCCACCCCCACCATTCGAGCCACCACCGGCACCGTTGCCTGAGCCGCCGCCACCACCACCACCACCAACAGTGCCGGTAGCACCAGAGGCACTACCTTGGCCTCCTCCATTGCCCGTGCCCGAGCCGCTACCGAAACCGATGCCACCGGGCACACTGGTGCCAGTGCCTATTCCAGCACCTCCGCCACCTCCAGCACCACCTGCGGAGTACGTGCTCTCTGGGAAGAGGGCCGAATTAGCAAGCTTCCTACATTCTCCAATGCCGAGGAGGAAGCCAAGGACGAGGATTGTGATTACGGGGTTGGGGTTCTTCATGGGGAGAGAGAGAGAGGATATGATAGAGGCGGAGAGGGGTTGTTGTGTCGTGGAGGAGATGGGGGCCCTATATATAGTGTAGTGAGGTCTAGTGGTGATTGTGCTTGAATTAATGTGGGGCATTATGGACAATAGAAGTTAGGGTCATCAATTTTTTAAGCAGTGGGTACGGTCGGAAGTAAATGTACACTTTTGAAGCTTTTAAGTGAGACAGAGCACTCAACGAATCATTAATTATGGCTGATTAAATCTCTTCACCTTCTTAAATATTTTTCAGTATCATTAATTTTTGCTTCATATCATTAGTTTTGTCCAGGACAATGCATGTACCGTTTAAAGAGCTTTGATAGAGGAACGAAATATGGAGTTCGTCATAAGAGAGCTCAAGGAAGAAAGTGAAGGATGTTTGTGAGAAAAAGAAAAGTATATATATATATATATATACATATATATATTTAGAGAGAGACACAGAGAGTTTCGGTGGCTGTAAATGCTTTATTTATTTCCTTATTGAAAAGGGATAGAGAAAGCGTCAGGAGACCTATTTCCGTGGCTCTAAATCCATACGGTTTGGATATTTGGAAATACATTTTCAGAATTGTATTTAAGTGGAAATGAAACATTTATGACGTATTTTGGGACTAAAATGTATTTCCACCAATAATTGTTTTCTTCATTCTAACTAGAAAATAAAGAAATTTTTATCATTGTGTTTACCCTCTAAAATTGATTTCCACTTAGATTTCCATGTTATAGAGACATCAAGTTTATAACATATAATTAATTTTAAAAAAATACCCCCATGAATTAGCGAGAGATACTATCTTGAATTTTACGTTTTAGAGAGAAAAAGTATCTTAAAACTTTAGAGAGAGAAACTATTTTTAATTTTAGAAAAGAAGGAAACTATCAAAATTTTTTAAAGAGAGAAATTATCTAAAAATTTTTATAGGAAGGAACTGTTGGGTGAGTGCGGCCATTAAATGCCTTATGAGTGCTTGTAATAAAACATTTTGATATAATGGAGCATGAACTCAGTGGGAGTGTGGTCCCTCGTAGACTACACTAAACATATATGTTTGCTGATATTGGACTGAGTTCGACGAGCTAGGTAAGATGGTTGGGAAAAACCTATGTTACCTAAGCATGAAAAAACAATCCGATATGGATTCTAATAGGTTATCCCTTGATGAGGTTGGAGTACACTCGGATGAGTGAGCCAAGGGACTCTGTGACCCTTGTATGTGATGGTAGTCTTCAGAGACGGGAGCCAAAGCCTCAACCATGTACCATCCCATGGCATATATAATGATAGCCGTTTTGAGAAAACGAACCATCTTTCAAGGTGAAGCTTATGCATGTGCGAGAGATACCACTATGCACCATAGGAGCTGTGGTCGCATCAAGTCTAGGTGACCTTGGAACATCTCTAGGGGAGAACCTGTAATCTACAGACTGGGTTTACGAGCGCTTGGCTCATCGGCCAGACTTTGGTGACCCACTAATGAGCCTCTGTTGGACTGCGGGTCATGGGAAACACTGGGTCAGTTAGATACAGTAAGTATGGTCGGTAGTCCACGGTTGAAGGTGGAGTGCCCCAATGTTTATTGATTTAATTCCTAGACCATATGAATCATTTTTCCATCTAATGAATTTAATTACATTTATTTTGTAGCATATTATTTTAGAATTATTATTTGAATTTTTATAAATCTCTGGATATTTTATTTATCAAATTTGAAGTCATAAAAACAGAGATATTGATTCTACAATGATTTAAATATTCAAATAATTTCTAATTTTTTTTTATTGAATTTCAAATTAGTTAAAATTGAATAGGGGTCCATTGTGCACCTGGGCCCACCATGGCCTAGAGGGTGGGACCCGTGAGACCCTCTCATGGGTGGCACACCCCACCCATTTAGGAACCTTTTCTTTTTGTTAAATGGAGACTTTGACATACGGTCCAAGTGTTATGTGTTTGGAAGGGGAATTGGCTTGATGATGCTTTGAATAGATTTTTTGGAAAGCATGAGAAGTCATGTACAATATTATGGTATGCACAATATTATGCTTAGAATTATTTTATTTAATTTGGGAAAATGGTTTAAGAAATGGGATAAGGGTTCTGGCACTATCCATAATGTTGATGACCCATCTATGGAATGGAGGGTACAAATCTCTCACCCCACAAGTCACCTAAGATCAATGGTCCATGTTCAATCTCACAAGAAGAGGTAAACCATGGAAAACCTTAAGAAACCCTCATTGTATTATTGCTCTATAAATAGAGGACCTCCCCCTATAAAAATCTCTACACAAAAAATCTCTTCTCTCTCTCTCTCTCTAGTTTTGTGAGGGGCACACCCTACCTCTTAAGATCTCTCTCTCTCCTCAAATCTCTCCAAATCTCTCTTTCTCTCTCTAGAATGGTCTAAAGGGCACATCCCACCTAAAAGGTTTTATCTATTTCTCTCTCATCTTGCTTTAAAGTTTAAGGCTTGGGTAGTATTAAGAAGATGACATCCTAGACAAGGTATTAAGGGTTTGAACCTAAAGTCCAAAGTCTTGTGATCAAGAATAGTTCATAGTTCCATTGGAAGGCTTGGCCTAAATTATCTTTCTCGATTGAGATTGAAGGTTGATCGTTAATCCCGCGCCATTGGATACTGGTGACTCGGCATGTGGAATAATAAGCCCGGTAGAGGTAATCCCCGGCATATCTTTTGTTTCTTGCATATTTATTTATATTGTTTTTTTATTTTTCCAAGCATATAAAGTAGTGGTTATTTTCTTTGTTTAAAGAAAATTGGTTTAGTGGCATCAAGGTTTTAAGGTATTGGCTTTATTTTTCTTTGAAGCATGAGTTGTTGTAATAAGATTACTTGTAGGTGATCTTTGCCAAAATAAAAGGGGTGAAAGAATAAAATAAAAATATACATACCCTGGTAAGATTACATTGGTCTTTTTTTCATTGGTATCAGAGCATAGTTACTTGTTACCATTAAGAGTCTTTTCTCTTTATTGAGTCTAGATTTTTTCTAGGAAATAAAAAGCTATGGTTGTCGGTACCTTCATCTCAGAGATCCTAAAAATTGAAAGCTTTGATAGGACCAACTATACCTCTTGGAAAAGAAAGATTGGATATGTCCTTTATGAGGAACACTTGCATGAGATGCTCTATGAGCGTCGTCCTCATCGTCCATGTGACAACTCATCTCAAGTAATCAAAGATGAGTATTCCACTTGAAAGAGAGGGAACTTGAGATATAAGCATATCCTTTTGTGCTCGATAACTGACTCGTATGCTGTTGAGTATGAGTTGATTTACACTGCAAGTGGAATCTATGAAAGGCTTGAGAGAGAGAGTATGCGGATCCCTCTCTCATGAAACAAGCCATGGCTATGAAAATATATAATGAGTTAAAGGTGGCAAAGGGAACTAAATTCTTGGAACATGTGCACTAGTCTGAGAGATGGAAGACACCAGCAAGAAACCTGTTGAGCCCATGCAAGTGATTCATCTCATGAATTCACTTCCCAGCTCATGGGAAACTTTTATATTCTCTCTGTTGGCTAAAAGGAAGGGGCCAAAATTGGGGGAACTCATCACGAACATCAAAGGAGAAGAAGAAAGGAGGAACTCAAAGTATGCACTTACATCAACAGCTAGGGCGGCCTTATTTATGGTAAAATTTCCACCCTCTTTTAACATAAGAAAGGAAATGGTAGAAATAATTTTTGAAAGAGATGAGACTTCAAAAGGAGATATTTTGAAAATATAAGAGGAAAAAATGGGACTAGGACTTGCCTTATTTGTATGAAGCTGGGTCACATAACCAGGTATTGTCAGTCCAACAAATTTGGTGGGACCAACAAGGAACTTGTCTGTGTGGTCTTTGAGAAGTTGCTAGCCGACCTCAAGGGCACTTCTTGGTATCTTGACTCGGGAGCTACGAGTCATGGCACAAACACCAAAGAAGGCTTCCGCTCTTTTACTCGCATGGATCCCGGAAAGCAACATATATGAAAGGAAACCACAATATCGATGTGCTTGGAGTCAGGAACTTTGAGCTTAAATCGAAGAGTGAGAGCATTCTGATCCTAAAGCAATAACTTTATGCTCCTAAAATGAGGAAGTGCTTGGTTTCGGTTCCCAAGATGTCTCAAGCAGAATTTGTTACCACTTTCGTTGGAGATAAGGTGGTCTAGTCAAGAAGGGAAATAATGCTGTTCTGATAAGACATCTTGTGGATGGCTTATTTATTATTGAAATGAAAGAGAACATTGCTTATGTCAGTTTGAAGATATTTTTCGGCACCTTGGGTCCCCGATACGGAATAAAGAAGATGCCGGTCAATAAAGCCCTGACATACAGTAAAATTTTTTACAATCTCAAAATTGCCTCAAAATAGGCAAAAACCTTCTTAAGCATTTCAAAAGGCCACCTGTCAAGTTTCGTAGCAATCTGACATGTTTAAGACAGTGTAGACAAAGAAACAATTTCGAAAAAATCAACCTCTTACACCGTAAAATGGACTCCATAATTAGAACTCTTTTTTTGGTACTTCAAAAAGCTATGGAACCACCTCCATTGGATTTAGAATGGTCGAAAAACCCTAGGGGTCAAATTTCGGTTTAAACAAACGCTCTAGCACAAAGTTAATGGTGAAACATTAAAAAAGGGCTAAGCCGCACGCTATTCTTGTGTGGCTTCCTTGCATCAATCTCCATTAAAGGTAATGGAGATTGGTTTGCACAGTCATAGGCAGAAACTTTGGAGACCTATAGCTCCCTCGTTACAAGTCAGATCGTGCTAAAAAATTTTGGAGCGTATTCATCCCGTCAAGACGAGCGTTTTGATATGTGGGATATCCCGTAACAATACCTGCGCAGGGGGAAAAGCTTGAGAGAAGACGACTATTTTTGGCAAAAGTTGCAAGAAAATTAGCAGCAGCACAACTACTCGAGTGGCCATAAAACGACGCTCGCGTATTTGA